TCACTGGAAGAAATGACATTGGAGAAGCAGGTAAGGCAGAAAGAGACACCATCATCAGCCTCATCATGATGGTATTTTGCATCAGATTTCTGTCCAGGACAATATGGGGCAAGCATCTTCTCCTGCATTAAGTAAAGATACTGGTGGCCTTTAAAGCCCGATTATCTAAAGGACTTGAAAATGCACACATGGTTCCACAACCTGGTGCTGACAAAAGTACTGGCAGCAGCAAATCTGTATGGCGGCTCCTCACCCAAGTCATAAATAGATCTATTGAAAAACATTTGGCACCAGCCCCACAGTCAGAAGCACCTCATTGGTCAGTGTGCCAGGATAGCTCATCATGCTCTCATTCCTGAGATTCAGCTAGTCAGCAGGTCATGTGACGGTAAACAGAGCAAAGCCCAGTGAGACCCTCCAGAATGCAAGGCCTCCCAAACCCAGCTTCACTGTAGAGGACACAGCAGACTTCCAGCCCTGCCTTTTTACAAACTGCAATTCTAGAATGCAACAATAAACAGAAACAATCTGAGAAGATCTTTTTAAACTGGTTAAATTACTTCCTAGAACTAAAGTTTGACACAGACTTTCAAGCAAAAAGTGAAGAGGGGGGGAAAGAATGCTCCTGGGATTTTAGCAAGTTTTGCTTCTGGCAGGAGGCAGAGCCACAGAAAACATTTCCTGGTGATCCAGTTTGCTCAAGACAGCACAGACTGCATTGCTTTGAAAGAAGAACATGGCTATGAAGCAGGCATGCATTCAGTCTAACCCACTCTCCACTAGCAATCAAGTTTTTGAACCACTACTGATCACTGCTCCGCCCCTCTGTCTTGAGTTAACCCGCTGTGATATCACAGCAGCTTTAAAACATTGCTGTGAGAGAAATAGAAGGGCATTAAAACAACTGTTAAGCAGAAAAGGTCCACCTGCAGATAAGGAACAGAAAGGCCTACATGCTGTTGGTGGGAAGGAATATGAGAAGATAATGGCAGCTGAATTTCACATATCGATTCAAGTTATCTAGCCTAAATTTGGCTGTGGGTCTCCAGCATAAAGTCAGTAAATCAACAGGAGCCAGAAATAATACATTACTTGTCAGGGCAGCTAAAACCCAGGGAACTTGAGATGGTGCAGGGAACTGCAGGAGGAAACCGTTTCCCACCAGCTATAATTAAAGGAAAACAGTACCCAACATTGACCGATAAGCAAATTCCCAATAAAGTTGTGCAACACTTTATCACAACAAACTACTAGTATATCACAAGCTAACGTGCATCAAAATCAGTATCCAAGCTTTCAAATTCTAGCAGGTTGGTTGTTTCAAGGCATATTAGCAAAGTCTGCAGTTGCCGTGTTAAAATGGAAATCAGGATTTGCTGCAGCCTAAATTGAACAGGTGGTGCTGGGCGAAGTAGGTTTTCAAGTTGCACCAGGTTACTGGGACAAAGGAAAAGAGGAAAAGTAGTCATTTTGTGAATATGAAAGGTAGCAATAATCAAATGTCACTAAGACATAGGTCCCTTTCTAAGGTAGAGAGCAAAAGAAAAACATGGTAGTCCTTCCATTCAAGGAAATAATTTAAGTGGCTTTATTTATTCCATTCAAGGAAATAATTTAAGTGGCTGTACTACATAAAGGGTCGGTGCAAGCCAAATAGGTTAGTGCAGGGGTGTCGAACTTATTTGTTATGAGGGCTGGATCTGACATGAAACCTTGAGACCTTGCTGGGCCAGGCCATGTGTGTCATAAAATGTGATTCCAGGTAGTGGAGATATAAACTTTATAAAGGACTCAAACACAATTTTTTTTTTACTTAAAATAACAATTTGCATAAAACATTAGCTCTGTAAGCTGCAAACCTACTTTTGATTTATTGACATTCACCACAGAAATCTCATGCTCAGAGTTTTGAGTCTAGGACCCAGGTTAAATCATGAAATGGCTGAGCGACTGAGAGAGTCCGGCAATGCAAGCTATGATGCAGCAGCAGAACTGAAAGCAGATGGCCAGTTCCACTGCAGGCCTGATGGAAGCCCTTCGGGGGCCTGATTCGGCCCCCAGGCCAATGTTTGACACCCCTGGATTAGTGAATGGGAATAAAGCACACTACCAGTTTGGCGTAGTGGTTAAGTGTGCAGACTCTAATCTGGGAGAACCAGGTTTGATTCCGCACTCCTCCACTTGCAACTGCTGGATGACCTTGGGCAAGCCATGGTTCTGTCAGAGCTGTTCGCTCAAGGGCAGTTCTGTCAAGAGCTCTCTCAGCCCCACCTACCTCACAGGGTGTCTGTTGTGGGGAGGGGAAGGGAAAGGAGTTTGTAAGCCGCTCTGAGACTTCTTCGGGTAGTGAAGGGTGGGGTTTAAATCCAATCTCTTCTTCTCTGACCCCATAATTGAAATTGCATTTGAAGCTCAGACTTTGAAGAGGAGATTGGATTCATACTCCACACTTTACTTGGAGTCTCAGAGCAGCTTACAATCTCCTTTCCTGTTCCCTCCCCACAACAGACACCCTGTGAGATAGGTGGGGCTGAGAGAGCTCTTTCGAGAACTGCTCTTGAGCAGAACTGACAGAACTATGGCTATGAAGCATCCCTATGGAAGGGAGAACACACATACCCAAAGGAAATACTTCCTCCATAATGTTTCCAGCAGGTTTTACTACAAACATCTAGTAAAATTTGGTTCATATAAAATAGTAATTAGGTAACTGGTTGTGATAATGTACAGTGATTAACTCTAGCTTTCATGTCATCTCATGAATTCCTTGAAGGTTAAAAGGTATAGGGAAGAAAGCTAGTATTTCCTTTATTCAAGTTACTCAAAACAGAAATTTGTTCTGTTCAAGGAATACTGACAGACCAAGTGAAAAATCTCATAAATACCTTATGTGAGCTTTTTTTGGAGTGGGGGTGGCATTAGGAGATTTGTCCAGAGCTGTACACAAGCCCATTTTCAGGCTTAAGTGGTCACTTACCAGTGTCCTATAATGAGCAGGAAAGCTTGGGCAAAAGCTTCTTCATATTCAGTAATTTCAGCAATAAACACAAGGCATTTTCTGGTGTTTTAAGTACTCATTCTGTTCATGTGCATGGAGAGGGGAGTGAAATTGTAGTGACAATGTGCTGTTATTACCTTCGAGCCTTTCTGCATACAATGTTCACATGTATGGTTCTCACCACTTGGTCATGTACCCATTTTCCATGGATCCCGCCTTCGGAGAACCCTATGCCTGTACATAGACTCCATACAGATGTAACAAGCACATCAGGATAACACATGCTTTGCTCTTGTTCACTGTAAGTGCCCAGAACATTTGGACTGGGCCATATGTTGGCTATTACTAAGTTCAGGGGGGGAAATCCATGGAAAGAGGCTGATTTCAAGATTTCCGCCCTAATGAACGATGAAATAAATTGCACTAAATTCAGTTGAACTTGCTTCTGAGTAACCATGCTTACAGTCATACTCAAAAATACACTGCTTACCTGCGACTGAGGCATTTGGGAAATTATTTAAAAATCTGCTGTATAAAGTGGTGCTAGCCCTGCAATAGCATGGGAAGCCATCAAGAGAAAACTTTTAATGAAACATAAGCCTTCTGACTGTCAAGGAGTCAAAGCAAAAGTTATTCAACAATGAAGAAACGAGTTCACCATTACATTTCCATTTCTGCAAGTCAAGGAAGTTCCTGCATTTTACACTAAGCAAACGGGGTTATTTAAGGTTTGGTCTGCCCTGACTTTATTCAAGCAGCATTCGTTCAGAGTAAGCCAGTTTTTGCACTGAAAGATACTGTGATATATTCTAGTTGCCATGAGAACATAACTGAAATATCATATTTCTCTACTGGAGGACAGGGTCAGGAAGACAATCACATGGGAGTGGCAGCCACAGCTCTCTGACAACTACAGTCTCCATGCCTTGCTTATGTTGTAATCAGGAGTGCCCACTACAGCTAACAGCACATTTCAGTGCAACTATCAGTATCCCATTTTCTCATTATCTCTACATGTTTAACAGCAAGCAGCTTTCTCCAAAGTCATGGCTTCTAGAACACAGGTTTTATCCCTGCCTCAGGTGTGTCTCCAAAGGTACCATCTATCAGCTCCCAGAGAAGTCAGTAGAAATTAATCATGTACAGAAGATACAACCCATTGTAAGGATGTAATGTTTATAGTTAATATTACTTATCAAAAATAGCGGATTGCGACTCATTCGCTTACTGAAGTGAGCAAAAGCCATTCATTCAGTAGGCAGATTTAGGGGTGGGAATACCGAACTGACTAAACCAGTTTGGTGTAGTGGTTAAGTGTGCAGACTCTAATCTGGGAGAACCGGGTTTGATTCCCCACTCCTCCACTTGCATCAGCTGGATGACCTCAGGCAAGCCATAGTTCTGTCAGAGCTGTTCTTGAAAAACAGCAGTTTCTGTCAGAGCTCTCGCAGCCCTACTTACCTCACAGGGTGTCTGTTGTGGGTAAAGGAGTTTGTAAGCTGCTCTGAGACTGCTCTGGGTAGTGAAGGGTGGGGTATAAATCCAATCTCCTCTTTCCTCTTCTTCTTAAACAGCCACCAATCTAGTTTAATAGCACAATCTAGCTCAGTTGGTTCTACTAGAAAAAGAACTTACTCTAAAGAATGTAACCCAATACAACCAAGGTACTAAAGCAATAGTAAAGTTCATGAGGTACATCTACTGCATTTGAATTTGTGGTAACAAATGTCTAGCACATAGACTTGTAACAAAATGTATTCATATATAGTTCTAGCCTAGCCTTACATCATCCCTACCTTCCACAAGCAAACTATTTTTAGGCAGGACATTCATTACATACATCTTCATAGAGCAATACTAATTTTGCCATTTTAAATCTAACCTCACTGGTCAAAACCAATGGCAAGCCAACAATTCAGTGAACCCTGCAGAAGAACTCTAATGCACATATGTTTCTGTAATATATTTTATTGAAGTCTGCTAAAAGATATTAGGCCATAGATTTGATGTTCAGAAAGCCACAATACCATTTCAATAGCATACCTAGTTAGAGAGTCTATAAATAATGCATCATTTAAATCCCATCGTTTTGTTCTTTCATTTTACAAAGTTAGCCCCCCTAAGTGCTGAACTTATAGGACTAGAGTCCAATTCATTTTTATACCAAACCCAAATGAGATATACAATATATATTGTACATTTCTGGTGTAAAAAAGGAAGTCTAGATAATGTAACAGTTTGTTTTATAGACAGCATACAAAAAAGATTTCACTTAATGATATTTAGCTATATTCCATCGACAAAGGCAATAAACAATGAAGCTGCTACAGATGAGATTTTTTACTAACAGTAATGTGAACATTCTGGGAGTGTCTGGAAAATGTGAGCTAAAGATAGCTGAATAATTAAGCTTCTTGGACAGAGAATGGAAAGGCCACCATTAAGATAGTAGGTAGAAGGTAGCCTTCAAAGACTCTGATATTCTGAGGTTAGCTTTATTCAGATGCACATAAGTGTATAAAGTATCAATACCACCTTCAGTCAGGAAGCATGTGATTACCTGTTACCTGTATTTCCACATTTGTTACTTATAAAGTATGAATTTCAGTGCTTAAAAAAGCAAATAGAGTATTAGTGCTAAAACAAGTGCTTCAGATATTTCTGTGTTTGCAAACAAGTATTCCTTCACTTTGTTTAAAAACACCCATATTGCCAAGACAACTGATTCTTTAGAACACGGCAGCTGAAGAATCAATCATAAGCATGACCGAAAGACCCACAGAACACTGAAGCTTTTATGCAGGAAAGCCGATTCCTTCTATGTCCATGAATTTTAGAAGTAAGCAAATGTACACACTAGTCATGGAATTCTGATGAACGTTTCCATTGATGATGCAGTGTTACTAGGGAGGGTTAAACATACAGCATGCCAACTTTACCTATTTGTGAGTCTTATTACACTCTTCAACAGTCTCCATAGGAACCAAGATATATGGACAAGTTTTCACCTCGTGATACTTAAAACATCCAGAACACAAGACCAAACTTTATTTCAAACTACAAAGCATGAGACTGCACTACTTTACAAAATGACAACTGACTGCCTAGATTCAAGAAGGAGCACAGCCTAATGAGAAGAAACAGGTTTGGTACTTGCTAACAGTGTGGTATTTTGCAAGACAGTCTAAAGATTAAGAAAACGAATCACAGCTTCATAATGCAAGCCAAAGGTTTTAAAGATAGTTCTATCCCCTAGTTAACCGATCTTCAGTGATCATCTGTTGTTCTTGAACTGTGCAAACGCATGAAGTCTTGCCAATATAAGGAGCAGGCAAGTCATTCAAAGCAAAATATTATTGCATTTCCAATACTTGTGGACAGGCTTAAGGTATTTATGACTTAAAGACATCTACATTTAACACTGGTATTCTAGGTATGCTTCAACTGTGATTTTTCACCACCCAAAGGGAAAATAAAAGTATTTGTCAGCTTGTTAAAAAGTTTCTTTCCTTTCCTGAAGAGAAGACACCAGTTATTCCGTAAATATAAAAATCCTCAGCCCTACGTGAATTGTTTTACAACAAGAAACCATCCAATGTTCCATATAGCTATCGAAATTGCTAACATATATTTACATGTGAAAAACATAAGGATTTTTTTGCCCTATAGAACATTGCCATACAGTAACCTATTACAAGCCACTGCTCAAGCAAGAATAGTGCAAATTTGTCCCAAGTTGTTCTGTTCTCCTGATAATTTATAAACTTTTGACCAATGTCCCCTATTGCAAACTGTTATTAGCATACTTGCTCCCTCTACAATGCCAATGACCAGATATTAACTGAATAAGTTTTACTATGCTGAAGATGCAGTACTGGCCAGGTTGTTCTTTGAAAACTTTGGTTCAACACCTCAGTTCAGAATCAGAACTCCTCATTCTGACATGCACCTATAACATGGGAATTGAACTGCACAACAATAATTGTGATGTCATCCCTGTACATCCGTGCCAACTCTTCTGGAAGACTGAGCATCTTGGACAGCCGTTCATGATCAACAGTGCCAAACTCATTATTCCCAACAGCGTGGCGTATCAAATGAGTTGCTGCATTCTGATCTTCAAAGGCTGAAGAAACGCGAGCTCTCCTTTCTGTTAAGAGGCCATGCATCTGTCCCAGAGTTACCTTGTAACCTCCGACAGCTATTGGTTGTTGATGATGAACACCTGTTAGGTATTCACCTACAATTCTAACCACATCTTGCCTGTGCATGGTTTCCCACAAGCCATCTGTCGCCAGTATCAAGAATTTGTCCTGAGGCCTTAGTTTATGATGTATAACCTCTGGCTCTGCTGTGAGGTAAGGAGGTGTATGGTAATTTGGTGGTATGAACTTTGTATACTCATTGTCATTGAGTTGATCTGGACCTGACTCTATCACTCTCTTCTGAAGGTCAATGCTCCATTTAAATTTGACATCTCCAAAAGCTCTGAAAGGCATCAGTAAGCCTAGTAACCGATCTTGTTTTACAGCACTCTTTTCTTCAGACTTTGGATGCTCCATTTTAACTCGCTCCACCTCTCTTTCATTCTGTGCATTATGATCAAAGGACAATGCCACAGCAGACCACGATCCATCTTCTTCTTGGACACCAAGCATGGCTCTGCTGTCACCAGTGTTAGCAATGTGCAAATCAACCCCATCTACGTGAGCCACACAGGCAGTTGCACCAGAAAAGGCTACACGCAGAACCAGATAATTAAGAAAAGAATTTGGGTCTCCTACTTGAGCTTCCAAAGAAATATCATTGTCAAGTCTCTTAAAGGCATTAATTAAAGCCTCTTTTACATCCGTTGTTTCCCCAGTGTTGAGATCAATGAGTTCCTGCCAATATGTTCGTAGACTGTTAAAATACAGTTTGGAGGCTTCCTTACTGAAATAATCATTGGGGTGCTTGTGCCACTGTAAAATAGGTAACAGGGCTCTGCCACTCTCTACCGCATTTTCTATTTCAAGTAAAGTCTCATGGGGTAACAGAGAAACAGCTATGTAATAAAAAAGTCTTTCGCTGACAGCCTGTGCACATGCACATCCTGCATGGCCATCAAAGACACCAAGAAGCATTCCTCTTGTTTGTAAGCAAGTCGCTGCACTTCTTCGGTCTTCTATTGGAGCGTTAGCTGGAAGCTGGTTGCTATCAAAGCCAAGGATAGAACTTAAGTTTTTGCCATCAAATTCTGGAACTTTAAAGCTGTATTCATTTGCCTTCAGTATGCTGTTGACTTGTGGAGGGGTGAGGTAAAATCTCTGTGGTGTGGAGACATAGTTTCTGGCATGAATAAACTGAGTGAAGTTCTCTTTTGGCCTACAAAGCGTTGCAAGCTTCTTCTGCGGGGCATATCTTAAGTGACTATGCGTTAAATGAGGTGACAAGCAACACAGATGTTTGTGGTGACAGTAACATGCAGTATTGTATATCCTGCCAATCTCACAGTTGCGAATTAATGGGAGCAATAGCTGAGTTGGTGCTGGCATGGCATCAGAGAACAAAGGCAACCGGGGGCTTCTGACTGGAATCGCTGGAAGGAAAAGCACAAACAACATTAACTTAGTTGGGATCTTGTAAGTAAACGTATTTAGATCACAATTTAACTTGCACCAAATCAACACTAGATGAACAGAAAACTCAAGTTATGTATGGGGTCTCCTTGAAGGTTACTTATAAGCTACAACTTCAGTTATTAGATATAGTTAATCTTTTTTCAGAAGTCAGTTAGGGAAAATTAAGGCTGTTTCTTCAGAGAATGGGAAAACCTGTCAAGCAATGTAGCTGGAATATTTGCAGTGTTAATGGTTTGAAAAGCAGATTCACATTTACAACTCACTAGATCAAAAATGCTGTGAAGGGAGCACTTTTTAGTTTCCCAAGGCATGGAGGAAACAAATACCTTAGTATTAAAACTAAAGGCATTTCCACAAAAAACTGCCTCAGTTCAGCATTTTTATAGCAAACTATAGAAATTTCCCATAGTTATTGTATGATCTGAGGAAACCTTACACTTACAATGTATCTTGGGTTCTACATATGCAATAGTCTACCATTCAGTTCCATCAGGCTCTACTGGATTATACGCGTTCCATTTTTATGCACTGGGCAGATAAGTTAGATCACAAAAAGCTGTATTGTGCAAGCAGTATTGTGTATGAATATGGCAGTAATATTACAAGTGGTTCAGGAATAACTGATAATTATTTTATGCCTCCAAAATGAATAGTATATATTGGGAATACTTTTGCTGCTTTACATTTAATTTCTTAATTTCCAAGTGTAATACATGGAAATTCACACTGGTGTATTCTAGAAAAGTCTTAATAGAATGACCAATATGGACAGCTATTCTAACTATCTTACCAGAGTGTTAAACTGGGAGTGCAGAAATCAAATAATGGTTAAGTACAGATAACACAGCCAAGAGCTTTTCATAACTATATATTAGGACTCATGAAAACAGCCTTCAGTTTGGAGACAGTCGGTCTCCATCTTTAGAAGATTAGTATCAGCTTACCCTCAACAACCTTGGCTATCCTTTTTTTAACACATTTCAGTTATTTTCTAGGTTATCTCCTCCAAAGCCTTACAAAATTTAAAGCAAGACTTGCACAGGCCAATCCTTCAGAAGGCAGATCCCCCCTCAATGAAATTTACCTTTAAGTACTTGCTTGCAGGATTACAGCCACAATAGCATTTCAATTTGTTCCACCCCAACAAATGTATAATCTTGACTTTCTGAGTGCTACACTTATGTGTTCTACAGATGGCCAGACTTCAAAAATTTACTCTGAAATAACTAGCTCAACCCCCATGGCTATGAACTGCATATAGTACTATCCCTTTTTCTAGACATCTCCATCTAGCATTATGAGCATTATGGCTTATAGCAATATTAACAGTCAGTGTTGTACACAACCAATTTCAATGTATTCACTCAGCTATACATTTAGCGACATACTACAAGCTGAACTTAAATAAACTAATCTTAGACAAATGCTACATAAAGCCAGCAATAAAGCCAGAAGACTATGGCACTATTTCTTTTTCACCAGACATCATTTCTCCAGATTTTTAATGGAACTCTTTACCACATCTAACCTGGATCTCAAACGGCTTTCAACTCTTTAAGACTGACTTATGGCCTTTCCCAATTCCATTCTACAACGCATTGGTCAGAAAGCACCTGGAGTACTGGGTGCAGCTCTGGAGGTCTCACGTCAAAAAGTATGTGGACAACATGGAGCAGGTGAAGAAGAGGGCTATGAAGATGATCAAAGGCCTAGAGATCAAGCCTTATGAGGAAAGGCTGAGGGACTCGGGAATATTCAATTTGCAGAAGAGGAGGTTGAGGGGGGACACGATTGCTGTCTTTGAGTATGTGAAAGGCTGTCATTTAAAAGGTAAGCAGGGCAGTTCCTGTTAGCAGCAGAGGCTAAGACTCACAATAATGGGTTTATTTTGATGTCGTTTGTTGTAGCGGTTAAGAGTGGCAGACTTTAATCTGGAGAACCGGGTTTGATTCCCCACTCCTCCACTTGAGGCCAACTGGGTAACCTTGGGTCAGTCACAGTTCTCTCAGGAGCTCTCTCAGCCCCACCTACCACACAGTGTCTGTTGTGAGGAGAGGAAGGGAAGGAGATTATAAGCCACTCTGATAGTCGGAGTGAACAGCAGGGTATAAATCCAACTCTTCTAATTTATGGGCAGAAAGGTATAGGCTGGATATTAAGATTTTTTTTTTTTAACAGTAAGAATAGTTCAGCAGTAGAATCAGCTGCCTAGGGAGGTGATGAGCTCCCCCTCACTGGCAGTCTTCAAGCAATGGCTGGAAGAACACTTGTCAGGGATGCTTTAGGCTGATCCTACAGGGGGTTGGACTAGATGGCCTGTATGACCCAACCCTATGATTCTAGGTATTCCCACAAGGTCTGCAAACAAAGCATGGTCTTCAGTTGGAAAGTGTTAACCCATCATGTGTATTAATAATTGATATGCTTTTATTAGTCTGATACTTGAAAAAAAAATTAACCCGAATATATTTTAATATGTGTACACCCTAATAAATTTTGTATTTTTATAAAATATATGGTCAGCTTAACCCTTCTGGTTCGCACTGCAAACAAAGCATAACAGCCTTCTAGTAATTCCTGAAGGACTGGTCTAACCTTTTTCAAAAGTACTCTTTCCTATTTCTGGTATTTGCTTTGTTCCAAAGGATTTTATTTCTTCTTTCTGTATTTCTACTTTCTCAAACATCAAAATGTCTTCAGCCAACTACACCCTGTTGAGGAACTATAGTTCTTCCTTTCTCTTTGCCTGCACATTCCCTAGAAACATCCCATAATCAATCTTTTGGTTCAACCTTGTGAAGCCTGACCAATTAGTGTTTTTATTAGTATCTGGGTTGAGGTCTCCAACACCAGTAGACTGAGCATCCCCTAGAAGACTGAGGAAAAGACCACAAAAACATCTGTGATCTTTTTTTGGAGGTAATTTTTTTCCCCTCTGTGCTGCAGAGCTGAAAGCTTCATTTCTGGTACTCTTTTTAGTTTTGTTTCTGGTACATGGTACCATGCTGGGGGGAGTGACTCAGGATTACTTTAGAACTAGATCTCATTTTAAAAAAAGGTTGGAAACCCCTGATCTAGCTAATCATTCATATGAGCCATACGTAAAAATATCTACTCCTTTCCCTTCCATATGCATAGAGAAATAGAAAGTGTTAAATCAGAGTCATTCCTAACAATCCACCTCTTTCAGAAGATGCCAAGATTCAGCTGCTGCTTTTGATTTGCTTTCCATTGGTTTTGCTGCTAATAGTTCTGGTACCTTCACTAAAGACAGACCTGTAATCCCCCATTTTAATATTTTTGCTCAGCTGCTAGCAGTTAATACAATATACTACACAAACACACAATCAATATCGTGTGACTTTGTCAAACAGCCTGAAGGGGGAAGCAGAAGTAATTTGAATTATTCTGTAAAGAGACCAATATATCTAACCTACCAACTATAAGTTGTCAGACAGTCCACATTAGGCAGATCCAAGCATCCTCTAAGTGGCTCTCCCTCCAATGGAAGAGCCACTTAAGTTGGAGGAAGGCTCCTTAGACTGGAGGAAGAATTCAAACTTGAGCCAGAAGCAAAGGCGGGGTATAAATAATATAATGGGTAGATGAATAAATTTTGCTCAGTGGAGTGGTAGGATCCTACCAAGTTGTGCTAGCCTCCAGAGCATCTTCAAAGCAGAACATGACAAGCAGGATATAAATTAAACAAACAACAAATAAAGAGAGCATCAATGGGGGGAAAGATCTACTGGGCACCAGTATATTAAAAATGAGTATTAGCTTATAACAGTAAAGTTTACCATGAACTTTATACATTGTTTCCTATAAGCTACTTTGATTTCCTATAAGCTACTTTGATTTGCTGGGAAGAATGAAGTTAAAGACAGTTTGGATTTAAAAAAATATATGCTTACAGACTAAATGAGTTAAAATCAATTGCTTGGTTTCATTCTAAGTTGCATATTGTAACATTCCAGTACATTTTTCTGAAATAATTCTTTCAGTGTTCTGTTGCACATAAAAACTTATATACGCTCAATATTCTGCTGGTTTTTCAGGTAAGAATTCAGCTTCTGCAATACCTACAATGGTGCTATCCTAGATACTTAGCATGTCCATAATACACGGAATGCAAGTCATTAGTGCATTTACACATATCAACATCCTGAATAAATTTGGTAGAACCAGAGCCTGAAAAAGGTTTGCCTCCCTACTCTTTGAAACCCACCCCTGGCTTATGTTGAAACACCATCCCATCCCACTGATAATGAATATGAACTAATTAGTCTCTCAAAGGGAACTTTGATGTAACATGATTAAAACAAGTTGAAATGTCAACTCCACAGTACCATTTCTTGTAACAACTTCTACTTAATACATATTATTGTTATCCCTCCCTCCTTCCTGTTATTCAGAAAATAGGATCATGAAAAATACATACCAATCCGCCTTGGCCCAGGACACACACACATTCTCCTGTCACAACAAGAAGCCGCCAACATCCACAAAGCAGTAGCCCAGGAAAAGCAAGGCAGAGAATTTATTAAAGAAGGAGGAAGAGGTCTCCAACATTGAAGGAACAGAAAAAAGACAGAAAGACAAGCAGTTTGTTTGTATTGACAAGCATTAAGAAGCAGCGACTGCAGCACAGCCATCCCTGAACAGCTCTGTCTAGTCCTACTGCAGCCCCTGACACACAGCTCTCCATCCCGTTTGCTGCACAACATAGCGTCCAATTCATGCAAGATTCATCTACTTTCAGCGACAGCTACAATTACGCTCACCCTTTTAAGCAGGGCTGGAGAAATATTTTCTACTGCTAAGTACCAGCTTTAATTGTTCAGAGCCACCATCAAGAGCAGCCTTGCAACAGGGCACTGTAAAATTCTCAGTTCAATTTTTTTAAACTCTCCAGATATCTGGATTTCTCCAACTCAGCTGGACATTAGACATTGATAAGCAACACATACACATACCGAACTCCTGTTTTTTAAAACCAGACATACATGTTCATATTACTAACATCCACAAGCTACAACCAGTCCTTTAAAAAAACCCAACACACATAGGCACCATCACTGAGCAGAGACACAGTGATACCCCTACGTCCAGAGCAGTTTAGCATTCTCACCCTCTAGAAGTGACCTCCACAGAAATACAACATTGCTTCCCACATCCCTCCATTTGTTAGGGTTTTATGGACATATGTAAGTTATCTCCTGCACGCTGGCTATCTAGGATATTAGAAGTGTTCGCAGTGCCCACCTGATCACCCGATCCAAACACAGAGTTGTTGTTTTTTTTTTAAATGTGACTGGCACCCCACCAGCACACTCAAGCAGCCCACGCTGGCCCATCACTAATTCAGGGGACTGACAAAGACAACTGCGAGATCACTATCTTTCACCTCTCCTGTCTGAAAGTCTCCTCTCCTACTTCCAGCACAGAGGGAATGCTCGACAAGGAACAATCTTCCTTTCCCCACTGAACAGCCCCGTGATTCCAACTGCACCCCACAGGCCTCGGGCTGGTTCATCGGCAAATATGTGGATATGGCTCTCCCTTAGGCTTTCGGGGCAAGGGCAATCCGGAGACCCCGCCGGCCAAAAGCCAACACAGGCTGCTTTCAGGTATCCCAAGGCTCCTTCAGCGGCTTCTGTTGGGCTTTCAGGAGCTCCGAGGTGCCCAGGCGTCTTCCGCTGGCGCCTGCATGCAGCTTGGCTCGCTCGCTCGGGCGCCTGGAAGCACCCTGGCCGTCCTATGCCTGCTTCGGCAGGGCTACCAGCTCCCCAGGACTCGGTGCCAACAGCGAGGCCTATTTACTGCGGTGGTGGGGAGACGGCTTCCGCCGCCGCCGCCGCCGCCGCCCACCACGCTCTCCGACGGAGGGAAAGGGGGAGTGGGGTGAGAAAGCAAGCGGGACCCCCGAATACTCCCCACCCCGTCAACGTGCTCCTGCTTCCTTCCCAGTCCCATTCTGCCCTCAGGAGAAGGGCGGCAGCTGCCACAACAGCAGCGGCATCTCCACCCACTGCTTGGCCGGCGGTAGCCTCGGGCCCACAAGGCAAGAAGAGCGGCTGTCTGTCACACGCCTAACGGCGCCCTCCTCTTCCTCACACCCCCCCACTCCCCCGCAGGCGGGCAGACAGGCACGCGCGACGCGCCCCTGCTGGGGTCGGGTCCCCACCCTCCTCTCCCCCATTCCGACACTGACCTGGTCAGCTTTAGGGGGGCGGGACCCCGCTCGCACAGCGGGCAACGGGAGCGCCGTGAAGCAGCTTTCGCTCTCTCGCCGTCCCTCAGCAGCTGAAGCGGCCGCCGCAGAACTCCGAGCCAGCGCCGCCGCCTTCTCCCCCCCTCCCTCGGCCCGCCCCCTCCCCCCCTCGGCTCACAGCGTGTTTTGCGCGCGCGCGCGCCGACTCGAGCGCTCACATCGGCCGCAGCCCCACGAACGCTCGGCGAAAGTGACGGCTTCCCGGCGTCGTGGGCGTCTCTTGTGACGCGCTCCGGCTTATAAAGCCTCTGAGGCGGCAGGGCTGGGGTCGCCTATTGGCTTAAGAAAGGGAGCACGTGACTTGTCCGCTTTCTTCTTCCTAAACAGCCTTCAGCCCTCCCCGCGCCCTACGGCCTCTTTTTTATTATTATTATCAAATACTCACTGGCGGAAGGATTACCCAGGCTAGATTTTGTCTGTCGTCTTGCGAAGTACTTGGACACATCTACATACTGCCGCGCGCTCGCGGTTTGGTTTTGGAGAAGGCGGACTCCGCGACTCCGCTCGCGAAGTCGGCTGAGGGAAACGCCCCGCGCCGGCCCTTTTTTCTTCCCTTCTGGCCTATCGGAAGCTTTTACCGAGGAAGAGTGGCGGGGTCTTGGTAGAGGCGGAGGATGCACAGATATGTGTCCTTTCTATTTCTTTGCGCCCGCTTCTTTGCCTTCAGCAAGGTCATTTGCGGTGATTCATTGCTTCCACAATCCGAGCCTTTAAAAGGAGGAGCTTCGTCAAGTGTGTTTGGCGCTGTACCCAAGTGCAGAACTTATTTCCGACCTTGGCCTAGCGTTGCCTTCTGTTTAAAAAAGACTTTGTGCCTCTGACCTCTGCATCCCATAATCAGGAGGCATAAATCGGTGGCCAAAACTTTTACTCATTAGTGTTCCGTTGGAAAAGGGAAGCAATACAGAAAAAAACCCCCAAACACCTGTTGATTTCTTTCTACCTAGGCATGAATTAAACAATCCTGTCTCAGAATGCATCTTTGTAGGATAGACTTAAAGGTAAAGGTTCCCTGGCCTAGCGTTGCCTTCTGTTTAAAAAACAAAGACTTTATGCCTCTGACCACTGCATCCCATAATCAGGAGGCATAAATCAGTGGCCAAAACTTATACTCATTAGTGTTCCGTTAGAAAAGGGAAGCAATGCAGAAAAAAAAAACCCAAACACCTGTTGATTTCTTTCTACCTAGGCATGAATTAAACAATCCTGTCTCAGAATGCATCTTTGTAGGATAGACTTAAAGGTAAAGGTTCCCTTGCTCGAAAGCCAGTCGAGTCCGACTCTAGGGTTGCGGTGCTCATCTCCGTTTCAAAACCAAAGAGCCAGCGCTGTCCGAAGACGTTTCCGTGGTCATGTGGCCGGCATGACTAAACACCAAGGCGCATGGAACGCTGTTACCTTCCCACCGAAGTGGTACCTATTTATCTACTTGCAATTTCTTGCTTTCGAACTGCTAGGTTGGCAGGAGCTGGAACTAGAGACGGGAGCTCACTCCATCATGCGGCACCCGGGTCTCGAACTGCTTCAAAGTATTTCAGAGCCAAAATTAAAATAATCCACCATAATAAATAGAATAAATAAATAGGCCTGGCTGATCTTGTCCATGGGGTCGTAAAGAGTCGGACTCGACTGTGCGACTGAACAACAACAACAACAAAATAAATAGAACATAAAATAAGAACATAACAGAAGCCAATGCTGGATCAGGCCAGTGGCCCATCCAGTCCAACACTCTGTCACACAGTGGCCAAAAATACCAGGTGCCATCAGGAGGTCCACCAGTGGGGCCAGGACACCAGAAGACCTCCCACTGTCCCGTCCCCCCCCCCCGCCAGCACCAAGAACACAGTGCACCACTAGCCCCAGACCCAGAATTCCTAGCTATACTTTGTGGCTAATAGCCACTGATGGACCTCTCTGCTCCATATGTTTATCTAATTCCCTCTTGAAGCAGTCCATACTTGTAGCAATTTCATTGAATGCCCAAGAGTTCTTGTATTGTGAGAAAGGGAGAAAAGTACTTCTTTCTCTTCCTGCTCTATCCCATGCATAATCTTGTAAACCTCAATCATGTCACCCCTCAGTCATTTCTCCAAGCTGAGGAGCCCCAAGCGCTTTAACCTTTCTTCATAGGGAAAGTGTTCCAACAGAAACTCAAGAGTCCTGGATAAATAAAGTTCATGCATTGCAATTGCACGATATCAGTGGAAGAATTTTGGTATTAGTGGAAGAATTCTAGTGACTGTGGCCTATTTAAGTTGCCACTTTCAGTGAACCATCTCAAACAGTAGTATTTCTGCTGCTGCTGAATTTCTTCTACAACAAAACCTGATTCACGCAGTCACTAGCCTTTTTGCTCCCATCGCTTGTTTCTTTAGAAACTTTTATGTTTAAAATGTTATGCAAAGTTTGCACCTTCATCAGAAAGCACACATCTGGAAATACTGGGTGTCTTATACCAAATTTGTGACTTGCCTAAGGGTGCTATTCTGAGCACCGCTGCTGAAGTTGTAGCACATAGATCTGCTCCCCCCTATTGTCATGTGAAATGATAACTGCTCCTTGACTACAGGCTCCTAAGTAAGCTCAAAAATCACGGGATAAAAGGGCAAGTCCTTTTGTTGATCGAAAACTGGCTAATTAATTGGAAACAGAGAGTGAATATAAATGGGAAATTTTCTCAATGGAGGGTGGTAAGCAGTGGGGTACCGCAGGGATCAGTACTCGGTCCGATGCTTTTTAACTAGTTCATTAATGATTTGGAGTTGGGAGTAAGTAGTGAAGTGGCTAAATTTGTGGATGATACGAAGTTGTTCGGGGTGGTGAAAACCAGGGAGGATTGTGAGGCACTCCAAAGGGATGGGTGAGTGGGCGTCAACGTGGCAAATGGGGTTCAGTGTGGCCAAGTGCAAGGTGTGCAACTGCAATAAAAAGGCCAATGCTATGCTGGGGATTATTAGGAAGGGTATTGAAAACAGATCAGCCAATATCATAATGCCCCTATATAAATCAATGGTGCGACCTCATTTGGAATACTGTGCGCAGTTCTGGTCACCACATCTTAAAAAGGATATTATAGCTTTGGAAAAAGTGCAGAAAAGGGCAACTCGAATGATAAAAGGGTTGGAACACTTTCCCTATGAGGAAAGGTTAAAGCGCTTAGGGCTCTTTAGCTTGGAGAAAAGACGACTGAGGGGTGACATGATCGAGGTTTATAAGATTATGCATGGGAAAGAGCAGGTAAAGAAAGAGGTACTTTTCTCCCTTTCTCACAATACAAGAACCCGTGGGCACTCCATGAAATTGCTGAGCGGTCGGGTTAGAACGGATAAAAGGAAGTACTTCTTCACCCAAAGAGTGATTAACACATGGAATTCACTGCCACAGGAAGTGGTGGGTGCTACAAGCATGGACAGCTTCAAAAGGGAATTAGATAAGCATATGGAGCAGAGGTCCATCAGTGGCTATTAGCCACAAGGTATAGCTAGGGGCTCTGGGGCAAGTGATGCTCTGTCTTCTTGGTGCTTGGGGGGGGGGTCAACAGTGGGAGGGCTTCTAATGTCCTGGCCCCACTGCTGGACCTCCTGATGGCACTGGTATTTCTGGCCACTGTGTGACACAGAGTGTTGGACTGGATGGGCCTTTGGCCTGATCCAACATTGGCGTCTCTTATGTTCTTATGTTCTTAAACCACTAGGCCATTCAGGTTTGACCCAGAGCATATCACTGATGAATATACAGTGGAGGTGAACAATAGGTTTGACTAGATTTGATAGACAGAGTGCCTGAAGAAGTATGGATGGAGGTTTATGACATTGTACAGGAGGCAGCAATCAGGTTTCTGAGGTCAATCACCCGCTCTATAAATCTAGTTAGCCTTTACTATATGGCTGGCTTTGTAACCTCTTGGCACTGAAGCATGTCAGTGGTTACACAGCTGTTTGTTCTACTGGCATCCATCTTGACTGCTTGCTCAGGAAGGGCTATGCTCTTGGATATTTTTGGATTACTGGAACTAACTGCCTGAGATGAACCAATGAACCTTGACTCGATGTATTGGATATGCTTAGATTTGTTTTATCCCTTCACAGTCTTGTTTCTTTTAATATTTTTGCACTTTAAATAAATGACTATATTTTTATCTTGTCATGGATTTTGCCTTCATTGGACCTCAGAGCCTTCTTCCAGAGCCTTGGCCTTTGACCGTCTACCAGCTAACTGTTTTGTGTTTGGAAACTCAGTCTGCAGTCCCACTCTTCAGGGTTGACTTTTCTTGTTAATTCCCTGAAAAGCTGGGAGACTTGTCCTTTCCCTCCTGGGGTGTTGGGGTAGACTGAAAGGACTGATGGCACCTACCAAGACTAGGGTGAGATTTAGGCTGCGGTCACACATACTGAATAATCCACTTTCAAGGCACTTTTGAATTGGCTTTTGCCAGTTCACACAGTAAAAATCCAGTTGGAAAGTGCGTTGAAAGTGGATTATTTAGTGTGTGTGACCGCAGTCTCAGTCTCACTCTGGTATTTTGTAACTTTGATTTGCTGCAACTCCTTTGTACCAAAAGTCCTTATCCTGGGTTGGGACAAGGACTTTTGACAACTGGTAAATTCCATTTCATTGTATCTGAGGAAGTGTGCATGTATACAAAACTCATATATTGAATAAAACTTCGTTGATTTTCAAGGTACCACTGGACTCAAACTTTGTTGTCTGCCTGTACACAAATGTAGTTGGCTATCCATATAGGATTCCTCCTGCAGTGAAACTAGACCCCAAGTCAGCAAGTCTCCCTCAGTCAAGAAAATGCCATTCAAAACTTTTCTTCATTTCTCTTCAATGGGTAGGGATGGGCACAAACCCAAAAAACCCAGTTCAGTTTGAGGTGGCCCCTGAACCAAATCGAGCCAAAAGGCCCCCACCCAAACTGAAACAGTCCAGTGAGTTCGGCTCCCCTTTCTCCCAGTGGTGATTTGCTGTGGCCAGGAGAAAGGGGGGGGGAATCGCCTGGGAAGGCCATTTAACCCATCCATTTTGCTCCCCCCACTTCAAAGCGGGGGGGGGATGACA